CACCCGGCTCATTTTTTTGATTTATTGTAGAGATGAGGTCTCGCAAGTTGCCCAGGCGGGTCTCGAACCCGCGGGCTCAGGCAATCCACTCACCTCAGCCTCCCAAAGGCACGGGATTAGAGGTTGAGCCACCAAGCCCGGCTAACAGTGAGTCTTTAATCATAGCAGGGCCTCCAGGAAACCAAGAGCCTTTCCAGGACAGTAATTCTCAACATGGACAACTCAGCATCTCAGGGATGTTAGGTACTGCCTGGGGACATTTTTGGTTGTCACAGTGAGGAGGGAGCTACTACTGGCATCTGCTGGGTGCAGACCAGGGATACTAAACCTCCCAATGCACAGGACAGCCCCACCACAAAGGACATCAGGCCCAAGGCCAACAAAGCCCACGCTGAGAAACCCTGCTCCAATGTATGGCAATCAAGGCACTTTGACCGCCCCCCGACTTCTTGGCATCCTTCCCTGTGCTTCTGTGGGGTTTTATTTCTGAGCGGCGGTCTCACACTGTTGCCCAGGCTGGAGTGCAGTGGCACAAACATGACTCACCACAGCCTTGACCTCCTGGGCTGAAAGGATTCACCCTCTTCAGCCTCCCAAGTAGCTGGAACTACAGGTACACGCCACCACGCCCTTTTAATTTTTTAATTTTTTTGTAGAGACAAGGTCTCGCTATGTTGCCCAGGCTGGTCTCAGGCAATCCTCTCGCCTCCACCTTCCAAAGTGCTGGGATTACAGGCATGAGCCACCATGCCTGGCCTGGATTATTTGTATTGGGTCAGACAGATGAACCCTAGGTCTGGAGTTAGCAGTGAACTGGGAGTTAGAGAAAATCACCACGCTGAGTTATTTAAGTCACCAGGGTGGAATCACCCAGACCTAACGCTAGATTTCCTCCCGTCCGCGTCCTTGGGCTCCCAAGTTACCAGTGATCGGCGGTGACATACAGGCTCTCCATGGGGCCCAGGAGCTTGTTGTGGCCCAGCCCCAGGTGCTGGAGGCTGGGGGGCGGGTGGGCACACAGGCACTCCATGCTGCTCAGCTCGTTCCCGTAGAGCTCCAGCACCTAGGGGCGACATGGGCTGTGAGGTGCTAAATCAGCGCTGAGGACAGGCCCCTTCTTCTGCCCTGGAACACTTGGAAGAGGAATTATAACTTATCCATGTCCTGCCTCCTTGGGCCCAATTGAACTCCCTTCTAAAAATCCAGGAAGTGGTCAGGTGCGGTGGTTCATGCCTATAATCTCAGCACTTTGGGAGGCGGAGGTGGGAGAATCACTTGAGCTCAGGAGTTGGAAGCCAGCCTGGGCAACATAGTGAGACCCCATCTCTACACAAAAAATTTAAAAATTAGTCAGGCATGGTGGTGCACCCAGCTCCTTGGGAGGCTGAGGTGGAAGGACTGCCTGAGCCTAGGGAGTCGAGGCTGCGGTGAGCTGTGATCATGCCACTGCTCTCTAGTCTGGGTGGCAAAGTGAGACCCCAACTCAAAAAAAAAAACAAACCCAAACATCCAGGAAGAAAACATTCCTGTGACAGGTCTTGGGAAGTTTCTTTTCCTTTGTGAAAGACACTTCAAAATTTGGAATGGGTCGGGGTGGGGGGTGATGTTGGAAGAGGAGGGAAGTGAGAGGACAAAACATAGATTTAATACACCCAACAAGCAGCCATTTGAACATTGCCTAAATCTCACGTTTTTGTAGCAGTTCACCTAACTTACCCTCTAATCACTAGCCAAGAACAGAACCGGTAGCTACTGATAATTGTTTTACAGTCCCCCTCCCTAGCTTGTTTTGTACTAATTAGCTTTTCTATTTCAAGTATTTGCCGCCACCCATAAGACCCAGGTTAACCTAATCAGCCTCTCGCGATCTATGTGGCACAGACCCCCACCATGGCAGCAATCACGTGACTAACCCACACTCTGCCTGCTGTCCATCACCTGATGTCAGTACCTGAGCTTACCTGCCCCTTCGTGAGGATGTGGAGCAGACCATCACCCAACCACCTTAATGACCTTCCCCCATCAAAGGGAAGGGTTAAAAGGACTCAGCCACGTGCAACCAGTTGCCATTGCTAGGCCATTGCCAGGCCATTGTGGCCATTGCCTTGCTAAGCTATGGTGTGGCCATGTGTTCTTTGAGCTATGGCCAGGCCATGTTTCCTGGCTTTGGCCCCTTCCCCTACGCTGGGGAGGTGAATCTCCTCTTTTTCTCTAATTTAGTTTCTAGATAAACTATATTTTCGAATCTAACTTCCGTGTAATTATTTGCATCTGTCATGTGGCATCGGATCACACACCAGACACCCACACACCCACACCCCCGGAGGGCCTGACCTAACATTCTGGAGCGCCCATTGGGAATGTGACCCTAACAGGAAGGGAGTTATAGAATATGCTAGCACCTTCTCAATCTGGAGCATGTCTCTAGGAAAGCCAAAGGGACCCTGGGTGGAATAAGGAACAAACCCAGAGACAACCTGGAACTCTTTTCCTCACTTGTGACTCTCGTCCAAGGCCTCTCCTGGTTTTTCTTGAGCAGTGGCATGGAGTCACACTTACGAGTTCCTTCTGTCACTAAGTCAACTCTGCTCAGCATTAAATGAAAATTAAGACCAGCCGGGCTCGGTGGCTCAGCCTGTAATCCCGTACTTTAGGAGGCTGAGGTGAGTGGATTGCCTGAGCCCGTGGGTTCAAGATCCGCCTGGGCAACTTGGTGAGACCTCAACTCTACAATAAATCAAAAAATTAGCCAGGCATGGTAGCGCACCTTTTTTTTTTCAAAAAAAAAAAAAAAAGAAAATTAAGACTAATTTGATCTGCTCAGTTGAAAATGCATAATAAAACCTGGCTTACCTTTCAAATCTATTTTTCTATATGCCATCTTAACCACTTTTTTTTTTTTTTGAGTTGGAGTCTCACTCTGTCACCCAGACTGGAGTGCAGTGGCCACTCCCGGCCACCGCAGCCTCGCCTGCTGGCCTCCAGCAATCCTTCCGCCTCAGCCGTCCAAGTAGCTGGAACTACAGGCACGTGCTACCATGCCCGGCTAATTTTTGATTTATTGTAGAGATGAGGTCTCGCCAAGTTGCCCAGGCGGGTCTCGAACCCGCAGGCTCAGGCAATCCACTCACCTCAGCCTCCCAAAGCGCGGGATTACAGGCTGAGCCACCGAACCCGGCTATCTAGTTACTTTCTGACTGTGGATTTGCCTCTTCTCAATGTCCCACGTAAGTAGAATCATATTTGTTCTTTTGTGTCTGGTTTCTTCCACTTATAATCATGTTTTCTTTTTTATCAATATATTAGAGTTGTGGGGCACAAGAGAGGATTTGCTACATGAGTAGGGGCACGCAGGTGAAGTCCAGGCTTCTAGCTGGCCCTCTCTCCCCTTGGTAGTGAACTAGGCACCCATTGTGCTGACACATGCCTCCTCCCGCTTCCATCCCCTAGCAATGCCCAGTGTCGGACAATCCCACCTCTGTGCTAGTGTGACTAGAGTTCAGGGCCCACATATGAGTGAGAGCATGTGGTACTCAGTTCTTTGTTTCTGTGATGGTTCACTTAGCATGATGGTCTCCGGCTGCATGCACCATCATGGCTTCAAGGTTCGTCTATGTTGTAGCATGTCAGTGCTTCATTCCTCTTTCTAGGTGAATAATATTCCATTGTACAGATAGACCACATTCTTTTTTTTTTGAGTTGGAGTCTCACTCTGTCGCCCAGGCTGAGGGCCCAGGCAGGCTCACGGCCACCCCTGCGTCGACCTGCTGGGCTCCAGAGATCCTTCCACCTCAGCCTCCCAAGTAGCCGGAACCACAGGCGTGCTACCACGCCCGGCTCATTTTTTGATTTATTGTAGAGATCAGGTCTCGCCAAGTTGCCCGGGCTGGTCTTGAACCCATGGGCTCAGGCAATCCACTCGTCTCAACCTCCCAAAGTGCTTGGGATTCCATGCTGAGTCACTGAGCCTGGCCCCACATTCTTTTTTTGTGAGTTGGAGTCTCACTCTATCGCCCAGGCGGGAGTGCAATGGCATGCTCATGGCCACCACAGCCTCGACCTGCTGGGCTTATGCGATCCTTCCACCTCAGCCTTCTAAGTAGCTGAAACTACAGACACACACCACCATACCTGGCTAATTTTTGTGATTTATTGTAGAGACGAGGTCTCACCAAGTTGCCCAGGCTGGTCTCAAACCCCCAGGCTCAGGTAACCTCTCGCCTCGACCTCCCAATCTGCTGGGGTTACAGGCTGAGCCACCGTGCCCAGCCGACCACATTCTTAAAATGTATCCATTTATCTCATGTTGTTTCTCCCTCTGGCTATTGGGAAAAGTGCTACCATGAATATGGGTGTGTAAGAATCTGTTTTCAGTTCTTTCGGGGATATCCTAGGAATGAAATTGCTGGGCCATATGGTAATTGTATGTTTAACTTTTTTGAGAAATATGACCTCTATTTTATTGATTTATTTTGAGACAGGGTCTCATTCTGTCACTCAGGCTAGAGTGCAGTGGCACAATCACGGTTCACCACAGCCTCGACCTCCTGAGCTCAGGTGATCCTTCTGCTTCAGCCTCCCAAGTAACTGGCACTTACAGGTGCATGTCATCATACTCAGCTGATTTTTTTTTATCTTTTGTGCAGGTGAAGTCTCACTATATTGCCCAGGCTGGTCTCGAACTCCTGGGCTCAAGTGATCCTTCCACCTCAGCGTCCCAAAGTGCTAGAATTACAGGCATAAGCCACCAGGCCTGGCTCCCGTGTGACCTGTATTTGAAAAGCCTGGAGCTGGCCTTAGCCCCAGTCACCCTGGCCAACCCTGCGTGGAGCAGCTCAGGGCAGGCCTCTGGGTGACACTGGCTCAAAGAGCCCGAAGAGACCCAGAGATTCTTTACCTTGAGTGTCAGAGGCAGATTGGCGGCATTGACCTCCTTGATTCGATTGGCACTCAATATCAACTCTTCCAGCTTTAGAAATTTCAGGAGGTCTTTATCCACCAGGGTCACCTGGAAGGGAGGGAAGGGAAGCTAAGGGCTCTGGTGGGGGAGGCCGCTTTGGGGTAGAAACCAAGTCTATGTCAGGAAAACAACAGCTCATCGGTTCATGGTCACCACCATCCCTTCCTCCCCCGAGGCCCTTCCTGCATATTCCGCCAGGATTCAAGGGCCTCTTCCTCTGACTGCAGGTGGTAAACGATTTCCAGGTCAGTGTCCTGTGTCCCTCGCCTGACCAACTTCGAGTGAGGGCAGGAATCCCATCTTCTTTGCTGTCTACCCTAGAGCCACAGTGAGCCCCAGGGCCAAGTGGCAGCAGCACTTTGGTCAGTTACGTCTTCAGGGATCACCCTGGTTTACACAGAGCAGGGTCAGACCAGAAGCTTCAGTGACCCACTCAGAAATCGTCAGCTCTCTGTGGCCTCAGACATCAGGACCCCTCCCAGCTCAGCCTCTCTTCTCCATAGTGACCCCCTGTGCCTTTGTGCCCAGGATGAAGAGGGTTCCCAGAACATGAAACTTGCAGCGCTAAAATTGAGAAAGTCCTTGCCGGGCTCGGTGGCTCAGCCTGTAATCCCGTGCCTTTGGGAGGCTGAGGTGAGTGGATTGCCTGAGCCCGCGGGTTAGAGACCCGCCTGGGCAACTTGGCGAGACCTCATCTCTACAATAAAATAAAAAAATCAGCCGGGCATGGTAGCGCGTGCCTGTAATTCCGGCTACTCAGAAGGCTGAGGTGGAAGGATCGCCGGAGCCCAGTGGGTTGAGGCTGCGTTGACCAGGAGCGGCCACTGCACTCCAGTCTGGGCGACAGAGTGAGACTCCAACTCAAAAAAAAAAAAAAAAAAAAATTGAGAAAGTCCCAGGCAAACTGGCATGAGTTGGTCACCCTACTCATCCCTGGAACCGTGTTACTTCCCAGCTTCTTGCGGGAACAGAAAGCAAAGCAAAGGTCCCAGGAAGGCAGAGACCACGTTTCCATGCAATTTGGGGGCTCTGTTATGGATCTTAGCAAAGGAAAGCTTTTTAGTAACAGGAATTAAGATAACTGGTACTATGCTAACCCCTGGACCCCACGGTTTAAATGAAGTAAAACCAATATGGATCCTTCTAAAGGTCTGGAACCCTGGAGGATTGCACGCAGGGTACGTCCTAATCAGCTGCAGAAGGTGCACAAGAAACATGCCCCAAGGTTGAAGAAAGAAGACACACAGCAGAGGTTGAGCCACTGGTGCTCCTGGGGACAAGCTGGTGGTATCAGTCAGATTGAGGGCAGGTGGGCTTCAGATCAGCCCCAAGGCAGATCCCCTGAGACCTTAGGGTGAGAGGTGCCTCGCTCCTCCCTCCCTCAGGAGAACGGCCACCCCAGCGGCAACCCCCACACTCCCAGCACTCACCCCCTTGTCCACCACCCGCAGGGACCGAAAGTAGGAGTAGAAGAAGGTGTCTTTGACCCTCAGTGGATTTTGGATGGCCAGTTCTCTCAGAAAAATGTCTTCTGCACTGGAGCCCTGCAGCAGGGCCCAGGGGGACTGGGGGCTGCGGACCAGGCCCAGCAGGGTCTCCACGGTCTCCTCCCCAGGGCTCACTGTGTCCTCCTCCTCTCGGGGAACCAGCTCCTTCCATGCTCGCCATGTTCGAGGAAGAAAACGTGACTTGTTCTACAGTGGCAGAGGTGGGGAAGTTCTCTAGATAAGATGCAGCGCTCTTAAGGATTCAACACTCTCAAAATCAGGCAGATTGTAAAGTAGAACCATGGGGGAAGGAGTTTAGAAATCTACACACTGAGTAGTCGATCATTTTGATGGATTATTCGTCATGGATAGAATTACAGATGAGAGAAGATGCAAAACAATTTTTTTTTTTTTTGAGTTGGAGTCTCACTCCATCGCCCAGACTGGAGTGCAGTGGTATGCTCACGGCCACCGCAGCCTCCACCTGCTGGGCTCAGGCGATCCTTCCGCCTCAGCCTTCCAAGTAGCTGGGACTACAGGCGCGCCCCACATCACCCGGCTAATTTTTTGATTTATTGTAGAAACAAGGTCTTGCCAAGTTGCCCAGGCTGGTCCTGAACCTCTGAATTCAGGCAATCCTCTTGCTTCCACTTCCCAAAGTGCTGGGATTACAGGCTGAACCATCGTGCCTGGCTGATGCAAAATAACTAAGGCCTAATTCCGTCTTCAGTTTACTCTGGTCTTGGAAACCTTGTCCAGGTAAGTACAAGTGGTCAAATATTTACCACAAAGTTTGAGAAAATGTATGTACTAAAAGCCAGGAGGCACAAAAGGCAATCTGGGAGACATAATTCATCCAGGAAAGGTGTTTTAAAGAAGAGGTAGCAGCCGGGCTCAGTGGCTCAGTCTGTAATCCCGCGCCTTTGGGAGGCTGAGGTGAGTGGATTGCCTGAGCCCGCGGGTTCGAGACCCGCCTGGGCAACTTGGCAAGACCTCATCTCCACAATAAATCAAAAAATCAGCTGGGCATGGTAGCACGCGCCTGTAGTTCCAGCTACTTGGAAGGCTGAGGCGGAAGGATCGCCAAGAGCTCAGCGGGTCGAGGCTGCGGTGGCCGGGAGCGGCCACTGCACTCCAGTCTGGGCGACAGTGAGACTCTAACTCAAAAAAGAAAATTAAAAATTAAAAAAATAAAAAAGAGGTAGCAAGGCTGAAAAGGCAAATCTAGAACCTTCCCAGCAATAAGTGAAGGGTGAAAGAATTCATTCTCAAAGTTGACTGTCTCTCACCCTTTCCTCCATGAGGTTGCTGAAATATATCTTGGAAACGCTGAAGCCTAGTACAGTGGCTTGCACACAGTAGGTGCTCTATCAGTGTTGACTAAACTACAAAGGAATTCTTTCCTTGCCTGGTGTCTCGGTTTTCCTATGAAAAGGGAACACCAGCTCCTCTGTACACCTTAGCCCTGAGGCCTTAGCTCCCCACCCAAGGCCACCAGAACCATTCGGGACTCCCAGGAGGTTGCTGTGCACACTTGTGGAGCGTCTGGTCCTAGTGTCATGCTCCTGTCACCACAGTGTGCCTAGCTGATGACCACGCCCCACTGGCCAAACAGAGGTAGGGTCCCATCTACAGGATGAGACTACAGATTGAAGAGGGGAACCGACCTTGGGAAACAAAAGAACGCTTTCCCTTTTCAGGCTGTCGTTACTATGCCCTGCGGTATGTTCCCTTCCACCTCCCTTGGCTTGGGAAGTGGGGACAGGTGTGGCACTTGGGCTTTTCTGAGCCACGTCATGGCCCCACTCTGGGGTGAAGCTACAGGAGGGAAGGGTCTGTGACCTCAGAGACAAGGAGGGGGCCCTTCTCCAGGACTCGAGGCCCTAGGCTTCAGAGCCTGCTCAGAACCACCCACCCGGGTCTTGGGGGTCTCACTAAGCGCTCTGGATCACACCCGACAAAAGTTGAGAAACTCTGCCCAAACACAAGCATCCCACCCCCAAAGAAGCCTGCCATCTTGAAGTCTGGGGTGCAGGCGTCTAACTCAGTGACAGGCCCCGGCCCAGATGGGCCCGGTGGGCCCAGGATGGGGGCCCTGCACGCCCACCCCCACCCCCAAG